TAAACAAAGGGCAAAGAATCCTTTTAAAATACTGCAAAGAACAGCTATTTTTTATCTTGTTGTCCAACAAGCTGCTATCAAAGGATCATCACAGTTCAGAATTTCCATGAACAGGTAGATGACAGAATGCATTTTTTAACTGTTCTCACAGAATAAGTAAAGAATCTCTGGTAAGGACATGTGGTAACTCTAGGAGGACTGGTTTTGATTTTTGTGATGGCAACAGTTGTGCAAAGAATCCAGAGCAGGATGAGCAATTCAGTATATTTTTAGTTCCTCTTACGAGTGAAATCAGAATTCCACTGAAGAAGCCTGATTTATGTTAAATTGCAGATTGTGTGCACATGCGTGTGTGTGTGAGAGAGAGAGAGAGAGAGGGCAGGCTCTAGGATGTTTTCTCAGAATCCACCCCAAAACAGCAGCTTGGACTCACTCTTTTTTTATTGCCATGTAGTTATCAGTGGTGAGTTTACAGTAATTATTTAAGAAAGAGAAGTAACTCACATGGATGAATACATCATGCAGGGTGTTAAAAATGGAAGGGTGTGTCAGACTGTGAGAAGCATATCTGGTCAGCAAAACTGTGATCCAGTGACAATTAGGCATATCCCAGGAAGTTTCCAGAGGAAGGAGGACTGAAACAGAGGATGAGGGGTGAAGAGATTCTCTGGCATAGGAAGGGACAGGTAAAACAAAAGACAATCATAAATACCTTTTCAAACTGCCTTAGAATTGTTATTCATGCTTTTTTTCCTCTCTGAGGTTTCCTCTCTGAGGTTCCAGATAAATGTGAAGAGCAGGCCAAGTAGCATTTCCCGTTTCAGCAACTGTGATGATTCTCAGAAAGGCCTTTAAGCAAACAATGTCTCTCTCAGATGTATTTCCATATCGTTTCTCTGCACCTTCACATATATGCACTACAACCTGAGCACAGTGTAAAGAGCTGGGAACTTTCAAACGTTATACTCAGTCTTCCTTAATATGAAATATTACAGGTATGAGGGGGTAAGGTACAAGCTTTCTATCTGCTGAAACACCTCTTCTGCAAAGCTTCTTGTTCGTAGCTTGTTTTCAGTATGCTTAAAATTTTTATTGTGAAAGTCAAGTTATCACATAGATATTTCTTGTAGGAAGCATTCAGATTGAGTTATTTTTGTAGTGGAAAGCAGGGAATTTCTGTGCACAGGGCTTGAAATATTAGTTGCATTAAGTCAGGAAAAGTTACCTACATTTCTTTTCACTTAAGTCATTCCCTTCCTCTTTAATGCCTCCACATCCACTTCAGGGACAGGTAGCTTAATTTCTATCATCTGTAGCTTTACAGAGTATTAGCTTTGCTACACATGGCAATGATTGAGCTATACTAGATGTGCTTGAAAAAGCCTACAACCTACAGTGCTCATTCAGGAAACTTGGAGTGAAGTAAATCCATATGTGTGTTAGAAAGTCAGTGTTCAGATAGGGTTTGTATTTTCTGGCTCTTGGCACTATCATGCACAATTCTTTGAAGAACGGCATCCGTGATAGGATTTTTGATAAAGAAGTGTGTAGTAAGCTCAGAGTTTAACATTGACATTTTGATGCTTTAATTTTTTTTTTTTCATTTGGTTAGACAGTGAGAACATTTTCCTACTCTGACAATTTTTAAAGGACTCCTAAATGAAAATAATACATATAAGTAAGCAGAAAAAAAAAAAGAGCTACGATTTTGTGTTAGCGTTAAGCTACAAATGCTATATTTTCTCTAAATTTTTTTTACGTTTTCTGAAAAAAAAAAGTAATCAAGGTGGAGCTTTACTGAATTCTTTGGCTGCTCCAAAGCACTTGCAGAACAAAAGTAACCTCTTTAAAAATGCCATCTGACTTTTTTCATAGTCTGTGATTCAGAAAGCATCACATTTGTCACAAATTCATGCATACTCAGCATCTAGATAGACTGTCAGATACATGTGATATATACATGAACTAGAACCAGAAACCACAGTGTCTAATCCTATTCCCTTTACTTGTATAAAATCCAACAATTGCATCTCATAGGAATTAAAAAAAGCATATCTAGTAGCATTTTACATAGCTGCATTTAATACACAGCTTGACAACTGGCCTAGCTAGTAGCTGTATTTTTAATGGGTTCGCCATTTATATCACTGTATTTCAATAGCAATTTACAAAGTAAAAATTGAGTAACACTACAAAAAAAAAGTATCTGTTTAAACACCAGAAGCATTGAAGGCAATAGACAGAACTAACGGAGATATAAAATGGAGAGGACATTTGACAGTTGCTACAGCTGAAGCATTGGCTGTGTGATTAAAGTGTTTCTAGATTGTTCTTTGGGAGATGTTCTTCAGAAATTCAGTCTTAATTATGCCTGAATATGAAATAGAATTTGATATCTAAGTTTATAATATTCTTCCCTTTCAGGGTAATTACTCATATGTTTACATTCGTTTTCTTGCGTTATAATAGCTGTGCACTAAGGTTTGCAACTTTAATTAGGCTACCCCTGGCTTTGAGAGTTTACCATTCATTACATGTTGCATGTCCTAGAGATCAGCTAAAATATCCTAAATTTCCTGTGTACATTGAGGTGGTAATTTTTTAAAATTCCTCAGGAAACACTGTTTTGTTTTCTGATTGCCCATTTTTACTTCCAGTCCAGGCAGCAGTAGCAGTCATTCAACTGGTCTGAGGGAATTTTTTTCAGTGCAATAGATTTTGTCTTATTGTTCCAGTTCAGTCTCCTCACACTCAGTTGAAAGCAGAAAATGACAAATGCCATATCATGGCTTTCGGCGGTTGGAGAGACTGCTGGCTCATGTGTCAGAGCAGACAACTGTCTTGAAGGGTGGGTACTCTCAAGCTGTGGTTACAATTTTAACTTAATCGGCCTTCCTGGAAATGAATCATAGTCCCTTTGAGGATGCAGGCTCCTGCTCGTGCCCTGGTGTACCGAGCAGTTGCCATTGAATCATTTTCATCAGCCACTCCTTCATGTTAACCTTAATTTACTAGACATAAAAATGGTAAGAAAGTACTCCCTCCCAGCCCTCGTGCTGATGCTTCTTTATTTAAAGTACTGCATAGTATTTTTCAGACTTTATTATGGTTTGATTAAATTGATTTCACCAATGACCTTTTCTTATTTGTCTCCTTATTTATTGAAAAAATGAAAATCAATTCACAATTGCTTTAAAGCAATAAAGACAAAGAGACAGCCAGAAGGTCTGCCTAAAGTCAAGTATATCTTCTTTATTATTATTATTTTTTTACTACTTGGCTTATTTCTTATTTCTTGTAATTTTTTTAGTTTCCTAGGGATTGATGTGCTTCTTTGGGAAAGCTACTTAATTCCTTTAAATTTCAAACTACCAGTCTGAAAAAAAAAACAAACAACAAAAAAATCATTCCATATCAAGCTGATGATGCCTAATTGTGTTTGTGCAACATTTTGAGTTTCTCAGATCAGAACAGTGTGCTTTTCTCACTACTATTCTAATCTTTGTGAGTAAAATCCAGTCATCTTATTCAAGTCTACTTTGAAAACGAATGATTTTCATCACTTCTGTTGTGTGCATAAAGAACTGATCAAAATTATAGAAAACTCAGGTCCAGTACACTGAAAAATAAGATCACTTTAGTTGCTTGAAATGTAATATTATTGTAACAGTAATGGTGAAGACATTTGACAGGTGTAGAGAAGATCAAGCTTCTTTCTGTTTCAAATGATTAATCAGAGAAATTCCTGGAATCTTTAGAGTCGAGTAGCAGTTGCATCCATTTTCAATTACTTGATTTTTTTTTTTTTTAATTTTTTTTTTTTTTAAAGAAATTAGGAACAGAAGCTTCTGGTTCAAACTGAAAGCATATCTCAGTGTGCTTGGAAGTTATCCAAATAGCATCTGCCACACTATTTTGTCTATCCCGAAATGTTTTTCTTTTCATGATAAATTTGTATGGTATGATACAATTAAATGCACTTCCCGTGGAGCATCAAGGAAGTCTGGATGTCTCTTTGAATGACTTTTTCAGACTGTTTTACACCATCATGTCTTCTTGGCATAATATCATATAAGGGATATACAACATTTCACCTATACTTTTTGGTATGTTTCCGCAAATAAATAGTTACTAAAATCACATTTCAGAAGCAAAATTTCAGCATACTGTTTGAAGCTGTAGAGCACTGCTGCCTAGCCATCTTTATAGTATTTCCTTTATTTTATCATTATAATATTTTATCCTTCTATTTTATGTAGCATTCATGTAATGCTTTACATGTCACCCTTGATCATTTGGACAGTGCAAAAGATAATTTTCTCTGCTTCAAGCAACCATGTTTATCTGTTAAAAAGTGGCACCTAAAGGCTTGCAGCCAAAACTTACTAGTTCATCAACACTGGAGATACAGATACCATTTTATTTTCTGTCTGTTGCAATAGTGCCTACTGAAATTAATATACGCAATTGTTCTGGTTTCAGTCGCTTAGAAATGACTCCTGCCTGGGTAGGAAAGATGAGGGCGTTTTTTTTCTCCCCCCCCGCCCCGAAAAAAGGCTAAGTTGTGGTTGCAGGGGCTGCCTGTGCCTTCAGCCGGAGCCAGCGGTGGCCGCCCCTGCAGGAGGGTTTGTCCCAGCACGGGCAGGTCCCTGTCCCCCCGCCGGCCCGCGGGCCCGGCACACAGCATCTGGCAGCCCAGAGCAGGCCAGGCCCAGCTGGGCCAGCGTAACGCTGTTTGTAATGAGAAATCTAAACAGGGAATGGCAGCGAGGCATGACAGGAATGTGTTTCCATTGGAGAAGCCGGTGTAGAGAAAAAGCATAAGCAAAGCCATATCCAGAAGGCCTTTTAGCTGGCCAGGACAGAAGACTGATGTTATTGTACATGGGCTGTCATGCTGCCAGCCCTCCCTCACGGGTTTGTTTTCTCTCATGCTCTCCCTCTCTTTCTCCCTCTCCCTCTCTCCCCTGCCTTCCTCCCGGGGCTGGCTGTTTGCTCAGGTGGACAGTGACACCGTTTGGAACGAGCTGCACTCCGCTGGGGCGGCGCGCATGGCGGTGGGCTGTGTCATCGAGCTGGCGGCCCGCGTGGCCTCCCGGGAGCTGAAGGTGAGGTCCGGGCCACGCCGTGGGTGGGAGAGCTGGGGCGGTGGAACCGGGGGGGTGTGGAGGGAGGCATCGTTCCAGGGGCCGTGGTGGGAGGAGTGCTGGGAGGATGGCCATGAAGGTGTGGCAGCCTGGGCGGCTGGTCCAGGCCTCGCCAGCGCTGCCGTGCCATCCACATGGAGAAGGGGTGGGTCCTTACAGCACAGGTTGCTACAGCCTGGGGTGAAGTTACTCGTTGTATGCACGTGTCTGAAAAGTGGCTGGGGGACTGAAGTGTTTAAAAAAAAAAAAAAAAGTTTTTAATTTTTCAGTCACGTCCATAGTCTCAGATACCACCCAGAGAGAGGAGCGACAAGTAGTGGGAGTGCAGGCAGGGGGAAGAGAGAGGCGGCTGGTGCAGAGAGCCGTGACCCGGAGGTGCCTTTTCTCCCCACTGACTGCCCCACGCTCTTCTCCCTGGCCCCCTTTCCTTTCCTATCTCTGTGCCGCACAATCTGCAAGGCACGAGGTACAAAACCCAAATTATTCCCAGTCTAAACAATTTATAAAAGCTCCAGACCTGACGGACTTTGACATTTTATTTGGTATTTTAACAGCCCTATTTAAAGGTACACCATATGCAGCCGGAGTGCAGGCCTGCCCCAATAAACATTGTTGGAGCTAACATGTCTTCTTAATGAAACTGTTTATTCACTTTCCAGTCCAAATACTAATGGATTAAGTCCTGTTTCCAAAAATCAAGAGAGAAATAAATATTGTTGAATTAGCATTGGATGATTATTTTCAAAATGCAAAAAATCTGTTTGAACTTGAGTGTTTTTTCATGTCGGTCAAAATACATGAGCTATGTATTTGGGAGGGGCACATATGTTTATGTGTATATATACATAGATATAGAATAAATAGATACATAAATGACAGCGTACTCAGGTGAAATTCAGCAGTATACCTCTCACCCAACTGAATGCTGTTACTAATCTTTCATATTCAGACATCAAAAGCCAGATACTACACAAAATGTACTAATTCTTAAATCCAGATCAAGGAGAGGGCACATCATGTGGGATCCTGTTGTGCATCCTTTTTGATGGGTACTTCATCCCTTTTAAGCTTTTTTGGACAGAGTAGGATTCAATACACAACTCACTGTGCTTTTTTCCTGCCCAATGCACCTAATGAAGGTGAAGAAGGATTTTTTAGCTAGTTTTAACCTTTGGCAACTATGGGACATACACCGGCCTCTAAGTCAATATAAAACAAGTTTTGATAAGAATAATGAGATATGTCCTGTGCGCAGCTGATATGCTCAACACCTGCTGCAGAACCTTTGCTGTTTGCCTCTGCACTTTCGTGGTGTCTTTCCATAGCATGCATTTCTGAGTGACTTGCCCTAGATTTGATCCTGCTCTGGCAGGGGGGTTGGACTCAATGATCTCCAGACGTCCGTTCCAATCCCTAACATTCTGTGATTCTGTGATTCTGTGAATGCTTTTGGTTGTTTTTGTATATATGATGAACAGCTGAAGAGAATCAAACCTCAGCCACTCTGAGACCTTGGTTGCTACTGGTTTTACAACAGTCTATAAATAAATATTTTAAATGTATTGCTAGTTAGTAGTTTGCTGTAAAATTATTGTTGACTCTAAATAGAATGTTTGTCTAGAGTGTAAAGAATTGAGCCAGCCTCATGCAACCTCCAGTTGAGATATAGGAAAGGTAATTGTTCAATAGATGTGCCAAGTAGATGGCTTATATCATATCATGAAGAAAACAGGAATGGAAAGGGTTTGCTGTGAAAGAGAATTGTGAATGCTGATGACATTCCTAGTGTTTATGTAACCTGTTCCTGTACTTCCAGCATGAAGCCCAATGACTTACGTGCCACCATACCAACTCTATGAACTAACAATCTGCATGTGGTATTTTTAATTTAAGGTTGTGGAAAGGTTTTTTAAGGCTTGAATGACAGAAGAAAAGCATGCTAGTAGAAGTTCTGGAAATACACTGATCTTGATACTAGCTGTTTTGGCAGAGTCCGCCCGTGTCACTACATCCACGCAAACCTGGGTTTTGCTGGCAAGTTACTCCCAATACCTTCATATGGTAAATGGCATTAGGGGGATTTTTGCAGAGTTTTCTGAGGTTTTCTGCGTGGTGTTCAAGATGACATTTTAGGTAACTAAGATTTTAACACCACAGATCTGTGTGTTCCAATGTACCGTAATCATTAAGCATGTGACTTTTCCATCTTGCTGCCATTTTTCCACTAGAAACATGTATGTTGCATTGATCAGCTGTTTCTTGTATAGGGAAAATGCCAATTCTATACCGTACTTGTGAAGATCTGAGGGGAAGTGACTGAAGCTGACCACTTCCATGTGCATTCATTGAGCAAATATGCATGTGAGGCAACCATTTGTGGCCTGTACTGTGAGCACTGAGTGGGAGGATTAAGCTCTGATGGGAACATGGAATGATCTGCCACAGCTTCAGAATATTTGGATGAAAGAATAATGCCTTCCAAGAATCGTGCATAAGCTTTCACAGCTCTGCAACATGTAAACAGCAAGATGAGAGCAATAGAAAAACATGAAGCAGTTTTTCCCTGGAGGTTTACTGATGTGGATTGCTATCAGATGGTGCACTGTCAATTGGATGTCATCTTAAGAAAAAAGAGTAAATTATGAAACAGGACATACTGACTTGCTATGAAATTCTACAGTTCTCTGAAAAGAGCTGTGTGTCCTGAAGTTCATAGTGGCAGACTTGCAATACTTAGCAAGAGCTTCCCACAGGGCAGTGCTCTAGATTGCAGCAGCGGAGGCAGTGGATTATCTACTCACTGCACTGGATAATCAAAGATGCCTTTATCTGAAATATAACCTCAGAGTAAAACTAACTTGCATAGAGCAGCTCTGAGAAAAGAAGCCTCAAGAATGAGAAACTGAAATAATTCATTTAAAAAGTGCTTTTTTGATATGAGAATTACCAAATTTGTTGGTGTAGGTTGGTATGAGCAGCCCAAATATTTCTTACAGCTTGATTAATCTATCTATCTATCTATCTATCTATCTATCTATCTATCTATCTATCTATTAAAGTCTGACATTGTTTTCTTAAAATTAAAATTAATTTAATAGGTTATTTGTTGTGCATGCAGTTAATTAAAAAAAAACCCAATTATTTACAACACTGAAGACAAATGTATTCACTGCCTAGCTAGAGTGTAGAAACTTACAAACATAAACTGCCCTGTATTGATTAGCATCTGACTTTTAAAGTCCTCTTCAGGAAGGTTGAGACATTTCAGTTTTTATGTTTATTCCATGGTCTCTACTGATATCACTTGCTGTTGCATCCAGTGATAGTAGTAGGTTTCAACTATAGGTTTATGCTGCTAAGAGAGGGTTGAGACTACAAAATTATGAAAGTCTGCAAAACAATTGAGAGATTCACTACAGAGCTGGGCCTGAGTCAAACTCACACTCAAGGCAGACTGAATTTCCTGAGACTGTCAGTCCCATTTCACACAGGTCTCATCTGAGAACAGCAACATTTTGTTCATCTGATTTGGAGAGTGTTCAAAAACTAACCAAGAGTTAAGAGTTCTCTTCACTGTAGTTCAAACCTCTTGTGAGACATCAGGTTTCTTTGATCTCCTTGTCTAATGGGGAAGGCATCAATATGACAGTGCTCAGGATGTAAAGCAATAGGGTTTATTGATACTCTACTACTGCCATAATAGCAAATTACTGTGGTGGAGTTGTTTTTTTTAAATCAAGACAAATTCTCCCTCCTCTGGGGAGTCTTAATCTTGATTTTTTTACTGTGATTACATGAAGTAATCAAAATTAAGGATATGGGGATTTGTTTAATAATAGAATGTGCACTCATTAAGATCAATTTGATACACTTCTGAGATAACATTTAATAGGGAATAAAGAATGACAACACTGAAATATACAGTGTCATAAATGTAATGTTATACTGTGTTGAATGATATGCTTCTCTTTTTTTATCATTGTTTCCTTAAATGATGGATGTCATCTTGGCAATATTACAACAGGAGACTAACCAAAAGATTGCATAAAGGCCACCCTTTTTCAACTATTTATAATTTAGGAAACCTGCTGATTCCTGATGAGGTATTTATGTTATATGGAATGGTTGCCACCGCTCTCCTGTCTAGCTGTTTTTCTGTATCTACCTTTGCTAATTTCTCATTTCCCCAACAGGTTTATAGAGGTGGTTTTTAATAGTCTGCTGGCTGACTTTAAAAGAGTTGAGTATGTGGAACTGGGTGAATATAATTCCACCGCAGTTATTAGCTATATTCAAGAAATAATTGTAACAGATAAGAGAAGTCTTATGATTTATTCCTTAGGGCTTGGGAAGAAATAAAAGTAGTGCCCCGCATATGATTTCTTACATATAGTGTAGATCCTGAACTTGGAAATTATTCTCTACCCTCCACCTAATGATAGTACCTTGAGAAACAGGGCCCTAGAAGATCTGCATCTGCAGAGTCTTTTCTGGAAGTGTCTTCTAAGGATCTTCTTCCTCTCTCACACTGCCACAGGAAAATAGAAATCACAGAATCATATTATCAGTTCTTTTAATGGTTGTTTTATTGTGTGCTATTTTTGAACATTATACATGTATTAACTTCTTTTTGATAATAAATTGTACATTTCTCTGGCTGTCCCTTAATATTTTGCAATTGACTAGCAGGAAAAAAATTACCAATGAATAATATAACTTTAAAAGAGTGTATCTAATAAGAACCTATTGTAGCTATGGGAGATGACTTTCCATGATAATTGGCAACTCACTGCCAGAGCAGATCGTAGAACTACTGAAAATCCACATTTGTGAAAAAGTTTCCTTCAGCCTCAAATAACCCCATTCAATACTGTTATAAGCTGGAATTAATTTTTTTTATGTATAGTACCCATAATAGGGATTAATGTCTAGTTTATTTTGCATATCCTTAAAATATGTTA